TTTTGCTTTCAGTTTCGACGTGCGGGGACGGGCTTTCAACAAGGCCCTGAACTGGTCGGACAGCACCGCCGTGGGACCCAGAGCCTACTTCGTCACCGTGACGAAGCCAGCCGCGCTCTCCTTGGAGGCGGTCCAGCTGGACGACGAGGGTATCTACAGATGCCGGGTGGACTTCAAGAACTCGCCGACCAAGAACTTCCAAGTGAATCTCACGGTGATCGGTGAGGAAACTCATTATCGTAACGACCGCGTAACATTGTTCCGGTATGATTAACTGCGTCCCGTAGCGCGTAAAACGCTCCCGAGGAGGATCGCTCTCAAGGACGAGAACGGAGATGGTCCGTGCTAACAAGGGATGAAAAGAGGGAGGGGGGAGGGAAATGGAATTAGCTGCAGTTAACGTCGATCGATATGCAAGGTCTTTTTTCATCTCGATGCAAAGTTAAACTTGCCGGAACAATCTCCATCCCGTTTCGCGCGGTTTCGCTAATTGAAGGGCCCGGTGCTACGACAGTCTAACCCACTTTCCTGAGAAACTTCCGAGGAGGCAGGGGGAGGGGGAGGAGGGCGGAGGGAGGAGAAGGTGGGAATTAATCGAAATTTCATTTTTGCAAGTTTAAAATTAACTTTCGCGAATTCTCCTTAAAAAGTCGGACCGGAGCCGCTCGGGCCATTATCCGTCAATTATGGAAAGCGAACCACTGGTTCGCGGAATTGTTTGCAGTGCCGCCGCACCAGCTACTCATTTACGACAGTTCCGGGGTACAGGTGGAGAGCATCGCCGGGCCATTCCAGGTCGGCGTAGAGTTCGGTCTGTCCTGCGAGGTGAGGGGAGGTGAGTGCTCGTATTTTGATTCGTCTCTTTGACTTACCTTTAGGTAAACTCGCGCAAATACAAGAGCTCTCTTACCCGGCGGTATCTGCGTCTCGAACTTCTACCAGTAGTTATTTACATTACGCTGTCGGTTCTCGCTTGTACATATTTGAGATTCTGTTATGAAAATGGTAAATCAACGTTATCGCGCGGTTAATTAATCTGGGACATCGCGCCGGTCCGCGCCATCGAAATTTCTTTATAATCTCCCTTCGTAATTAACACAATTAAATGACGGGGCGACGGAGGAGGTGGAGAATACGATATTTTGAGATAGAGCAAATTTCTCGTCGCATAGTTTAAACGCAACGATGAATTTACGATTACGTGTGTACACATGTGTACACACGGTCGTCCGTTCGTTCTCGAATTTGTAAAATTTTATCCGTTAATTCCGCCCCGAGAGAAATCAGGTTTCTCATTAATATGTTTAGCCGAGATACGAATCTCCGGGCGAGAGGGCGACAAATTACCCCGACCGGCCTCCGCATTTACGCGCGCATAAACCCCGGGGCATGGAAATCCCCTCAAGATCGCGTGAACAAATAAAAAGCGGGAGATACCGCGGGCTATCGTTAGTGATTAAATACGGAGCCCGGCCTCTAAGTGGCCGGGTATTATGCGGGCGCGCCCGATCGGAGACACCCGGTATTAAGGGTAATTATGGCCCCGGTGATTTGTCTGCTGTCACGCAAGACTGATCGACGACGAGGCCGAAGAGAGTGAGAGAGTGAGAGAGAGAGTTAATTAGCCGCGTATAATTTCCGTGCTTTCCGTGCTTTCCCCGTGCGCGCGTACCCCACGTGAAGGGAAACCCACGCCGGTGGTGAGTTGGCTGGTGAACGGCAAGGAGGTGGACGGCAGACTCGAGGAGTTCGGCCAGAACATCGTCGTCAGCAAATTGACGGTGCCGCAGCTGCGGCGGGAACACCGCAACACCACGTACAAATGCCAGGCGGCCAACACGCATCTCATACCGCCGCTGGAGAAGACCGTGATCCTCGACGTTTACCGTGAGTAGTTTTTTTTCTATTTTACCTAGAGAAAATTCTGTCGTAGCCATGAAAAAAAATTTGTTCTCTTCGGTCGAGATGCGAATCTCTTATCCAACAACATGACGAAATGTAAACATTTGTAAAGATTAGCATACTTTTTTCGTGTGTCATTGATATACATATGAGCATCGCTCGTTTGTTTAAATTTTACGCGCGATAATTTTTTTGTGCAAAAACAAACGTGTGTACAAGCCACCAAACGGCGAAAATCAAGGGTTGATACGCTAGAGTCATCCCGTTTGGACAAAGTGCAATCAGTCATATTTATAAAAAGTTACATGTATCGTCAGCCATTTTAATTAAACACAACAAGCACATTTGACAAAAATATGGCATTTATTTACCGCGATATTGGTTGGCACAACCTCTAATTATGCTTTTGCAAAGTTAATCAAAATCCCCGCGGCATTCAACCTGTTAATAATTCACATTAGTTAAATTTCGATCGCGGAAAAGTAATCCTTTCGCGTTTCCGTTATCGACTCGATAAATTATTGGCAGGTCTGTTGAAAATAGGAACGCTGACCCTGGCACACTGGATAACCATAGCACTGCGAAAATAAATTCAGCCTTCTTTAATTATTCAGCTTGAACAAATCTCAAACGGCCGGAATGATCCTTTTATATTTGCGGTTCTTTTAAACCGGATATTTTTGTCAAAGGTGATGTATATAATCTCCCCAAAAAAACCGATATCGAAAACCCGGCAGATTAACGCTAAACGCACTTTATACATATAATCATTTTAATGAAAAATCATCGCCCGCGATCTTTAACGCGCGACACGCGAGGAATAATTAAAAAGCGGTAAACGCGTCGCTGGGGTGGGAGGGGAAGGGGAGCTTGTAACGGCCGGATTATACCGTGGAGGATTTGCGTTTTAAGTATTAATTATGAATTCTTACGATCTCGTAACTCTGGACGTCACGAGTCGAAAGCTTGAAAGTTTTAAGGGGCGTAAAAAGGGCCACCGCGGTATTATAACCGCGCGATATAACCCGCGCGCAATAAACGCGATTTGCCGGTTGGTTCCAGTAAAACCGCTCACCGTGAAGATACTGTCAAAGCTAACGGTCATGGAGACGGAGAAGGACTACTCCATCACCTGCGAGACGACAGGCTCGCACCCCCGCGCTCGCATCACCTGGATCGAGGGAAACGAGACGTTCCGAAACGGCAAGGTCGATAACGAATACACACACACACACACACACACACACACACACACACACACACACACACACACACACACACACACACATATATATATATATATATATACTTTAAAGCGTCGACGTCGTTGCACGTCGACACTTTTTGACACCTGCTCGAATTACCCTTCCCCCGCCCCCCGGCTCCAATCCCCTCAATTTTCGAATGTGCCGGCAGGTAATGGAGAGCGGCAACGCGTCGGCGATTCTGAGCACCCTGATATTCTCACCCGTCCCCGATGATCACGGCAAGATCCTCAAGTGCCGCGGCGAAAACCCGGCCCTGACGGACGCGTACCTGGAGGACTTCTTCAAGTTGAATGTCGTCTGTAAGTGGCAGGCGCCGTTTCCTCGGCGCCACTCTCACGACGCGGCAAATCGCGCGGACGCGGATCAATTTATTTACCCTCCGCTGCCGCTCAAATTCTTTTCTCTCGCTCGGAAAATATCGGTACTTTATTTTAATTAATCTTCTATCGGCGATCCTTCCGGTGCTGCGATGTACACAATTAGTTACTGTGAAAAGCGCATGTCGCGGTATGAGATATATAATGTCGGCGTGGAGAATTATTTATAAACGTACGGGATGTTCTGCAAAGGGATGCGATTAATATTATTGATATTATAATTATTATTGATCGTGATGCGCGTTTGTCCATTGATTAATAGACGATAATTTAGAATCGGTTAAAAGATTTAAAGTCCCGTGTACACGAATGTATGCGAATGGAACAACTCAACAAGTCCCGCCGTGTATTTGTGAGCCGTACGAGATGCGCGAAAATGGAAATCGCTGGCCAAATCGTTAAATCCGTTGCGCGCGGATGGTCGCCGTACCTTATTAATATATTCCCGTCCTACCGACGATTTCCGAACGGACTCAATATTTCACGGCCATTTTCTCGAAGTACGGCCGGAAATATTTCATTAGAGTCGCGCGACGTGAAACATTGAACAGCCGAAAAATTCTCTCTCTCCACAGTTCCGCCTAAGGTACAGTTGCATCTGGGCAGCACTCTGAACGCGGAGAACATAAAGGAGGGCGACGATGTGTACTTCGAATGCAAAGTCCGCGCCAATCCGGAGCATCACAAAATTACTTGGCGCCACAACGTAAGTCCCACACCAGTCAGCGACGAGCCCACTTTAATCCCGGAGTGTTTGCCTGCGCGACGCTGCCGTCTCGCTTTTAGAATTTTCGATATAATTGCACGAGTTTTGGCTTTTCCCCAAGCAGTTTCCGAGTTCTAAAAAAAAAAGAGACAGAGAAAAAGCTCGGGCGATTAAGCGTAAAAAGCAAAGGTCCAAAAAGAGGGAAGGATACGGGACGCCCGAGCTTCACATTTTCATTCACACGGGAATCGATAATAACTTTTTTATTTCGATAAGGATCGATTTGAGTCGTGATACTTTACGATGAAACTTTTAAAGTGTTATCTAGACCTTCCAAGAAAATGCCGGCTTTACGAAGAGAAAAAACGAATCCTTACCGGGGGACTCGGGGAAATTTTCGTCTCTTCATCTTTGCATATGCATCCACTTCTCCGAGAGCGACAAATATCTGTCGCTTCGCGTTTATTGCGCGGATATTCCTGACACGACTATTCATAAACGGAAATAAACTTCGCATTTTCTTGGAGAATTTCCACCCTCGCCTTCGCCTTCATCTCCGTAAAACGCGAAATTTGAAAAAAGCGTATGTGTAATTCTGAATATATATTATGTCTCAAATATTTATACAGAAAAGAGAGAGAGAGAGAGAGAGAGAGAGAATTAATTAAAAGGAAATCTCCATAGATGATAACGATTCGTGTGAGATGAAAAGTTGAAGTGAAATCTATTTGTCATCCCCTTCTTCCTTATTACCGAAGAAATATGGCATGGGGAAAAAAGTTATCGCTCCGGAATCTCAATCCCCGTGTTAAACACGTTAATCCATCAATGACAGGGCGGCGTGCTGACGCAAAACTATTCGGCCGGCATCATCATGAGCACTCAGAGCCTGGTGCTGCAGGGCATAGGTCGTGACAACGCGGGGAATTACACGTGTCTCGCCAGCAACGATCGCGGGGAGACGACCAGTCCGATTGTGAACCTGAGAGTACAGTGTAAGTAGACACGACAAGTTCGAATCGATAACAAGGACTTCAGAAAGCGAATGTGTAATCTGCGACGAGTACATGCCGGGGGATGAATCGAGTTTCCGAGAAGTTGAGGGCTTCGCCGCTCCGTCCGAGTGGAGAAAGTATTTAGTCGCGATTCGTTAACAGCACTTATAATAATTCTCGCAGATAGATCCCTTACACTTGTTGCCTACGGCATAAATAATTACGTAAATATAAATATGAATAGCGAGGCGAGCGTATAAACATATTTATCTATTTATTTATACTATACTAAATTAACATTTGTACAAAGGGGAATTATTGACATGTTCAATTATTCCAAAGTATTATTATGGGCGAATTAACCTCCGACCTTTTGGACATTAAAAGTTGACGTTGTTCCTCTGTTTCCTCGGGCAAATTCCAAAATACGCGTTACACAATACGCCAACCGCGCGTAATTGTACTCGGGAGCGAAATATCCCGGACGTCAGATATGAGGGATTACATTTTAGAAGCCAATTTATTTTCAACCCTCCCATCCAAGTCGTACGGCGAACAATATAATTCTCCCGATTAAGGGCGAATAAAACGGCTCTTAAACTCGGCATAATCCCGCTGTCGAAGTTCCGCCGATCGATCGATAGCAGAGAGAGACGAGAGGCAAAAGAAGAAAAAAGAAAAAAAAAGAGAGAAAGAGACGTCTCCGTGTTTTTATCGTCTGTTCCATCGAAGACGCGTGTCCTCCTTTTTCTTCTTCTCTTCCACGTGCGATATTCCAGTCGCGCCGGTTTGCAAGATGAAGGAGGTGACGATTATCGGGGCTTCCCTGGAGGAGTCCGTTAAGGTGCGCTGCGAGGTCGACGCCGACCCCAGCGAAGTGGACTTTGTCTGGGAGTTCAACAACAGCGGCGAGAACTTCGAAGTCGCGCCGGCCAAGTTTGACGGTAACAACGGCACCATGAGCGAGCTCGTCTACACCCCCGAATCCGAGAGGGATTACGGCGCCCTGACCTGTTGGGGTAGGAACGCGATAGGGAAGCAGGAGGCGCCCTGCATCTATCAAGTTATTCCGGCGAAGGTGATGTCGTTACTGTGTAAACAAAAAAAAAAAAGAAAGAGAGAGAGAGGAGGGAGAGGGAGAAAGGGGAAGAAGAGAGATAGAAATCGACGGGAATTTATTCGCGACTGCGTTTCTGCTCTTTTTTTTTCGTCTCTCCATTGCGAATCACAATCTGGAAGAAATCCATGCTGTCCTTTCTGCTTTCACAGAGAGGCAAACAAATGCCGAGATTCTGAAAATACTTAAATACCACGCGTTCTGCTGCATCTCGCGTCGAAAATATATAATATTTAGACGTTCGTATTTAGAGCTCTGCGCGCGCGGGCGCGTTCATGTTTCTCTTGTATTATTTTTTTTCGATCTGACTTTCGCGCAGCCAGCTTATCGCATCGTACATCATAAACTCGAAAATATTTGTTTTCATTTTCTACGAGATGGACCGTATGTGTTGCGTCCTATCGTATTTCACTTAAATCGCGTCACTTTTGTATCCGCGGAGAGAAAATCATTTACCTCAATTACATCTTTCCCCTCTGGTATATTATATTTTACATGCAACTTTATACTTCTCTGTCTCTCTTCTCGGACAGTTTTTTTCTGCCGGAATATAAATTCCTCAAAAGCCCGATATTTTTTAATTAAGACTAAAGTTCGAAACCTGGGAACTGTGTCTCTGAGCAGTGAAGCCGAATCCCCTGAACAACTGCACCATTAAAGCGTCGCTGAATCAAAGCTCGGAGATCCTCGAGGTCGAGTGCGTGCCGGGATACGACGGCGGGCTTCACCAGGAGTTTCGGCTGGAAGCCTACGAGGTGTTGACCGGCAATCTTCGCGTGAACGCGTCCAGCGTGTCGGCCGATCTGCCGATCTTCCGGATCGCCGTGGCGGATCTTCTGCCGGCCACGCACTTTTACCTGGTGACCTACGCCGTGAACGCCAAGGGCCGCAGCGAAGTTTCGCTTCTGGAAGACATAATGCTGCGCGATTCAGAGAAGCATACAGGTAATTGAAAGGTTTTTCAAAAATGTCAGAATTAAATTTCCATCGTACGTCTTTCTCTCTTCTTTTCCTTTCTGTCTATCATATTTTATATAAATATATTTAAAAAAGTCACTAAAGGCAGCAATGGACGGAACGCTAAAATGTTTTTATGCTAGGATTATATTAATATTATGAAGGACACTTTTCGTATTTTTAAAAAAGGTTATTACTCCGCGGAATTGTCTTTTCGAAACGGATACGATTTGAGAATCAGATTTAGAAGGATCCATTCCAGATTCTCCCTCGAGAACAAATTAAATCAGATAAAATTGATGATATCCCGCGGGAGACTGCCTTAAAAAGGATTGACAGAGATTCATTGTGTGTAATCTAATTTTCTATTTTGACGTTTAAAATTAAAATGAGTGAAACTAGGATTATATTTATACCCAATGTTTACTTTCAATGTATTAATGTCAATTATTCTTATTTACACTTGGATAGAGAATCGTGCGTATATGATAGAGTAAAAATATTTAATAATAAAACTGAAGAGTAACAGAGATTTCCGCACAAATCACGGATTCAGTGACGGGAAAGAAATGTACGCAATTCCTTTCATTTTCGGTGGTTTATTCCGAGAAGAAATCCTTAATAAACTATTTGCAAGCAGCTTACGTTTATTACATCCTTCACATTTATTAGCCCGCCGAATAAACCGATTGTAATCCATTTTCAAAATGCTTTACGTTTATTACGATCTCTACGAAAGACGGAGAGAACGGTG